GGAAAAATAGGACCGTGAGTTGCAATTCTCCACGTATCCGTGTCCCCTGAGGACTGGTGAGTTAACATTCCCCTATTATTACATTAGGAATCAGCTGCCCAGCCATTCAACCTTATATAATCTAGTCACAGTTGGATGGGAAAACTACAAATCCCAGCGGGCAATGGGGCATTTGGATGCCTTTCCTCATACTTTTGCTCCAGTGTCTGATGGGACTTGTAGTTCCTTGGGCAAAGGCCGCTGTAGGGTTGCTTGTCCATTCTTTGCAACCAAGGTCCTTGGGGTCACCTCCTCCCTGTGTGTCCCCCGTCTCTCTCAGATCCCCAGCCTGAGTCACAGTGTCCCCCGTCTCTCTCAGATCCCCAGCCTGAGTCACAGTGTGCTGTCACAGACCAGCTTCAGGGCCGAGTACAAGGCCAGCGGGGGCCCCTCCGTCTTCCAGAAGCCCGTCCGCTTCCAGGTGGACATCAGCTCCTCTGAGGGGCCAGAGCCCTCCCCGCGGCGAGACGGCGGTGGTGGCGGAGGTGGCATCTACTCTGTCACCTTCACTCTCCTCTCCGGTACGTCTCCCCGGCCTAGGCTGCCCCCAGCCAGGTGTCTGGGATGCTCGGGACAGCGGAGATAGGATAGCAGCCCGGGAGGGCAGCATGGAGGAAGAGGAGGGGATGGTGCTCAGCTGGGCCTGACTGTGTGAGCCCCCTCCTCACTCAGACCCCCACATCCTCTCCTCTCCTCCCCGTCTTTCTTTAGCACGTTTGCTGATTTTACAGAGAGAGAGGAAGGGAGAGGGAGAGAAACATTGATGTGAGGAGGGTCGTCTCCTGCACCACCCTTCCTGGGGATCAAGCCTCCACCCTGGGCATGGGCTCTGACCAGGAATTGAACTGGTGATCATTTGGTGCATGGGATGATGTGCAACCAACTGAGCCACCCTGGCCAGATCCCCTTTCCTCTTTTCTTTCTTTTTTTAAAAAAAAATATTTTTATTGATTTCAGAGAGGAAGGGAGAGGGAGAGAAACATGAATGAGAGAGAGAATCATTGATTGGCTGCCTCCTGCATGCCCCTTCCTGGGGGTCCAGCCAGCAACCCGGGCATGTGCCCTTGACCGTAATCAAACCCGGGACCCTTTAGTCCGCAGGCTGATGCTCTATCCACTGAGCCAAGCTGGGTAGGTCTCAATGATTTTTCTGACATTGCTGGCTCTCCATGGCCTCCGGCCGAAACTAGCAAGGAATAAAACCCCACTGAGATAGAAAACGGCACCCACTGTTACTGTAAGCCCAGCATTTCTCAGCTCCGTGTGCCTGGTCGGTGCCTGGTCGGTGCCTGGTTGATGCCTGCTCGGTGCCGGGCCAGGAAGCGGAGGGGTAACTGAGACCGAGAGGAGGGGATCCTTCCCTGGGTGGAGGGAGCGGCTTCCCGGGCCCTGGCCCTGGCGGTCCCCAGTCCCCACCTCACTGTTTCCCGCCCTTCCAGGGCCCAGCCGGCGGTTCAAGCGCGTGGTGGAGACCATCCAGGCACAGCTGCTGAGCACTCACGACCAGCCCTCCGTGCAGGCCTTGGCAGGTGGGTGTGGGCCTTGGCGGGTGGGTGCCAGCCTGGAGGGTGGGTACGGGCTATGATGGGTAGATGGCAGGTGGGTGTGGGCCTTGGCGGGTGGGTGTGGGCCTTGGCGGGTGGGTGGGGGCCCCGGAGGGTGGGTGTGGGCCTTGGCAGGTGGGTGTTGGCCTCGTGGATGGGATGCCGGGTACCGGCTGTCTGTCCGTCTGTCCTTTGGGTGGAGGAGGAACTCCCCATGACCAGGGCTGCAGCTTGTGGTCAGCAGGTGAGACCAGCGGTGCGGAAGCCAGGCCACCTGTCGGCCCGTTGCGGCCTCACCTGCAGACCTGCGAGCGGGTTGCCTCTCCAGGGGGGGCCACCTGGGAACTGGTGTTCCTGCCCCAGGGGGTGGGGCTTCCTGGAGGCGAGCCTTGTTGTCAGGGAGCGGAATTCCCTAGCAACCAGGGGTCACCAGAATTCCTCCATGAAGACAGCCCTGCTCAGCCCCACGCCTGGGATTGGTGGGAAGGGGGTCCCCCGGCCCCAGGGAGAAACAGGGCAGGCAGGCAGGACCCCGGCTCTGGGGCAGAGGCCTGCCCGGCCTCGTCACCGGAGAAGGCCAGCGCCCAGGGTCACGGCTGCTGGAGAGTGATGGTTCCCAAGGTCAGAACCATTTCCCCAAGGTCAGAACCACTTCCTCAAGGTCAGAACCATTCCCCCAAGGTCAGAACCACTTCCTCAAGGTCAGAACCATTTCCCCCAAGGTCAGAACCGACGGGGCGACTCTCAAGGTGTCTGGAGGGCCAGGCCAGGCTCCCCCCTTGAGGCTGGGGCCGGAGTATCCTTTCCACCTTCCCAGAGGCCCCAGGCCCCAGTTCCTTTGCTCGGCGTCCGTCAGCACAGCCGGTGACGGGCACCTCCCTGAGGCGCACATGTCCCTGGGACACGGCCCTCCCCGGGGAGGGTCTTTCAAGGCTTTGCCCCCAGAGGAGCCAGAAGAACCGCCCGCTGGGCCCCGGCCTCAGTCACCGCCAGCATCCCCTTGGCCCTGCCATGTAACCGGTCCCCGTGCTCAGCAGGAGGAGCTGAGCAGCTTTGGGGGAGAAAGGGGGGACATCCAGCAATGTCTGGAGGCCTTTCGGCTGGGATCCATCTTGGGGGAATGGGGGTGCAGGGTGCCTAGGACGCCCCCACAGCAAGGCGCTCCGACCTCCTGGGGAGTGGAGCAGGGCTGCTCCAGGAGTCTCCCCATTAGGCCTGGTTATTCCGGGGTGACCAGAATCCAGGTGAGGCCCCCTGAACCCTGCTGGACCTGGTTGCTAAGGAAAGCTGATCTTAGCAACCAGGGTCCCCCAAAGGGCATGCCCTCAGAGAGGAAGGACCAACAGGCACTCCGGGGGCTTAGCCCAAGAGAATGGGGCAGGGGGTGACCCCCAGTCCGCCTAATGGGGGGAAGAGCCATCCTGGTTGCTATGACAACAAAAATCAGCAAGCCGAGACTTTTGTGGGGGCGGGTCGCTGCTCGGGGCCCTCAGGTCCCGCTCTGTGTGGCCCCTCCAAGGGGTGACCCCAGTCGGGCAAGCCGGCCTGGGGGGGCCTGAGACCCCCAAACAACCTGTTGTAGGACTGTCCCCTCTGACTGCCAGGACAGAGGGGGGAAGGGGCCCCTCTGGCTGTGGCCCAGGATGCTGGAATCTTTTTTTTTTTTTTTTTTAAATACATTTATTTATTTATTACAGAGAGGAAGGGAGAGGGATAGAGAGTTAGAAACATCGACCAGCTGCCTCCTGCACACCCCGTACTGGGCACGTAGCCACAACCAAGGTGCATGCCCTTGACCGGAATCGAACCTGGGACCCTTCAGTCCGCAGGCCGATGCTCTACCCACTGAGCCACACCGGTTAGGGCTGTTTGTTCATTTCTTTTTTTTTTAATAATATATTTTATTGATTTTGTACAGAGATGAAAGGAGAGGGATAGAGAGCTAGAAACATGGATGAGAGAGAGTCATCGATCAGCTGCCTCTTGCACACCCCCTACTGGGGATATGCCCGCAACCAAGGTACATGCCCTTGACCGGAATCGAACCTGGGACCCTTCTATCTATCCACTGAGCCACACCGGTTTTGGCTCGAATCTTCTCTGTGCCCACACGCCAGTCTTTAAGTACAGCCGGCTGGCTCTCCAGGCCATAGTGGCTAGAGGGGGTCCGGATGAATGACCCGTTGTAGGGTGCGCAGGCCTGGTAGCTGGGTGTGCCCCCCCAGCACCCAAGTGGGGGGCTCGGGCCTCCGCAGGATGCCAGCGTCGTCCCGGCCGGCCTTGGGGTCGCCGAGACCCCGGATGGGATGGCAGGAACCGCCAGGCCGGCCCCAGCGTCCCCGAGCTCAGGCCACCCCGCTTTCTCCCCGACAGACGAGAAGAACGGGGGGCAGCCCCGGCCGGCCAGCACCCCGCCCCGGAGCCTGCAGCCCCCGCCCGGCCGCCCGGACCCGGAGCTGAGCGGCTCTCCCCGCCGAGGCCCCCCCAAGGACAAGAAGCTCCTGGCCACCAACGGGACCCCTCTGCCCTGACCCCAGGGGGGCCGGGGAGGGAGGGGCGCCCCCTCCACCCCCTTCCCTGCCCCCCCAACTGTGAATCTGTAAATAGGGCCCGAGCAGTACATAGGGAGGGGGACACACGGCCGACCCGGCCTCGCCCTGCAGGGAGGGGGCGCTCAAGGGCCGTGCCCAACGGGAGGGGGGTTCCGGGGGAGGGGGGCGTCCGGGGGTGGGAGCTGTTTCTATTTTATTTATTGATTAATTTATTATTTTATTTATTGATCGACCTTCTCTGCGGGGCGGGGCGGGGGCGGGGCGGGGTGGCTCAGCAGATCCGGACGGACAGGGCGGCCATCTGCCCTGTGTCATCCCCAACCCCCCCTTCCTGGGCCCCCCTCCCCCCTCCCCCCACGACCTTCTGTACGGATTTGCTTCCGGAAGGAATTCTGGTTTCCCGTGACCCTGCCTGCGTCCGTGTCTCTGATTCCGCCGGCGGCAAAAAGGAAAAAAAATGAATAACAACAATAAATAGCCTTGGTCAGGGGCGGCAGGCCGGCTGGCCGCGGCCTCTGGCTTCCTGGGTGGCCGGGGGCAGGGGTGGGGCCGGAGGGCCGGGCGGGAGGGCAGGCAGGCGCCAGGGCCTGGCCCCATGCATGCCCGCCGGGTCCCAGGCCGGGCGGCGATGGCAGGTTCTCTTTCGTCATCCTTGGCAGTCCTCCCGCGAGGACCTGTCTCCGCTGCTTTTACGTAGAGCAGACGGGACGGGGGAGGGAGAGAGCACCATCGATGTGAGAGAGACACATCCCCCAGTGGCCTCTCACACTCGCCCAGCTGGGGCCAGGCATCCAACCTGCAGCCCAGGTGCACGGTCTCCATCGATGGGAGTCAAACTGGCCCGGGTGCGGGGGGGGCCAGCGCTCTAACCACTGAGACACACGGGCCAGCGCCCGCCAAGTTCCTTAAGGTCCGCCCCGGGCGGTTCATCCGGAAGGTTCGTCCCCAGCGATGCATCTGAGGCCCGGAGCAGCCCGGGCTCGGTGTCTGTCCCGGCGGGAGGCCGGGCCGGGGCCAGGGGCAGCGGTGTTGGGGTCTGCGGGGAGACGGGCTGCGGGCGGAGGCTGGGCTCGGGCTGGAGGCACAGGGAGCAGCCCTCCAGGCCGGAGAAGTCCACGGCCATCAGGCCGAACAGCGTGAAGAGCAGCATGGCCACGGCCCACTCGCAGGCGGCGGCCGCCGAGCGCTGCCGACTGAAGTGCAGGACGAGCACTGGGCGCAGGGTCAAGGGCAGCCGCCACTTCCTGCGGTGTCAGCCCTCCCACCACGGCCTTCCAGCGACTGACACGGCATCGCCCCGACGGGCGTGACCTCGCCCCGACTGACATGGCACTGCCTGGCTACTGTGACCTCACCTGACTAGTGTGACATCACCCGACTGGCGTGACATCACCCCAGGTAACATGACATCATCCAACTAACGTGACATCACTCCGACTGACGTGGCATCACACCGGGTAACATGACATCACCTGACTAATGTGACATCGCCCCGACGGGCGTGACCTCGCCCCGACTGACATGACACTGCCTGGCTACTGTGACCTCACCTGACTAGTGTGACATCACCTGACTGGCGTGACATCACCCAACTAACGTGACATCACCGCGACTGACGTGACATCACCCCGGGTAACATGACATCACCTGACTAATGTGGCATCGCCCCGACTGGCGTGACCTCGCCCCGACTGACATGACATCACCTGATTTTACTGTGACCTCGCCCGACTAACGGTGACATCACACCGTGTGGAGCTGAGCGTCCAGGCCAGGGGCCTGCAGCCCAGCACTCGCTCCCCATGAGCCACAGCCGGGTCTGCCACTTCCTGTGGTGTAAAGACTCCCGCCACGGCCCTTCCTTCCCAGCGACTAACGTGACATCAGGCCAAGAGACTCCTCCGGTCTGAGGCTCAGTCTGCAGGCGTAGCCAGCGCGCTCCCCGGCTCAGAGCGCACCCCGATGGCCGGCTCAGCGCCCTCCCCACACCAACTGGCCGCTCCCTCAGCCCCGCACATGTATGTCTCCATCCTCACCGCCCGGGGCGGGCTCTGCGTTTGACAGGTGAGCAACCCGAGGCCCTGAGAAGCTAAAAACCAGCGGGGCCTCCCCAGCTGGGAGGAGGACCAGATGGGACTGCAACCCAGCCAGCCAGGCAGCGTGCGCACCGCCCCCTCCTCTCTGAGGACGGCCCTGTAACGGGCGGGGAAACGGGAGCATCGCACCAGCACACGGCAGACACACACACACACACACACACCCCCGGCGAGCCCGGCCCGGAAGGATACTGGTCACCAGGAGGACGGTGCAGAGGGTGCAGAGGAGCAGGCGCAGCGGCCAGATCCACGGGGCCCCGGGCTGGGGCAGGCGCTTCATTCGCCAGCAGAGGAGGACCTGCAGCCAGAAGTAGACGTGGCCCACGAACAGGGCCAGGAAGGCGCCCGCCAGGTGCGTGGGCAGCTGGTTCTTTTGCTGGAGGAGCGGGGCGAGGGGAGGGGAGGACCTGAGCAGAGGCCAGGCCCACCAGGCAGGGATGGAGGGCCCCTGACCAACCCCGTGCACAGTGATTGACAACCCCATGCACAGTGATTGACAACCCCATGCACAGTGATTGACAACCACCATGCACAGTGATTGACAACCCCATGCACAGTGATTGACAACCCCATGTACAGTGATTGACAACCACCATGCACAGTGATTGACAACCCCATGCACAGTGATTGACAACCCCATGTACATTGATTGACAACCCCATGTACAGTGATTGACAACCCCATGCACAGTGATTGACAACCGCCATGCACAGTGATTGACAACCCCATGCACAGTGATTGACAACCCCATGCACAGTGATTGACAACACCATGCACAGTGATTGACAACCCCATGTACAGTGATTGACAACCCCATGTACAGTGATTGACAACCCCATGCACAGTGATTGACAACCGCCACGCCCAATAAGCAGGTCCCTGAGTGCATGCATTGGCTCTCCTCAGCTCTGGGAGGGCGGGCATTTAAACCTGTCCTTCACCTGGGGGCAGGGGGGGGGTCCTTCACCTAGGAGGGGGGGAGTGAGGGGAGGTTAGGCCTCAATCCCTAAAACAGTGCCTGGCCTCCTGCAGAGGCGCCTAGATGTTGGTGCAATAAGTCTTTTATTCTCACCTGGGGTGAGGGAGAGTAGGTGTTGCCACCAAGGGAATAAAAATTGTGGGGTTTTTTTTGGCCCTGGCTGGGTGGCTCAGTGGACTGGGGGGGTCCCAGGTTCAATTCTGGCCAAGGGCACATGCCCGAGTTGCAAGCTCCAACCCCAGTGTGGGGCATGCAGGAGGCAGCTGGTCCATGATTCTCTCTCATGTTTCTATCTCTCTATCCCTCTCCCTTCCTCTCTGAAATCAATCAAGAAATATATTTCTTTAAATTGGTTTTTGGACCTAACTCATTTGGCTCAGTGGATAGAGTGTGGGCCAGTGGACTGAAGGGTCCGGATTCGATTCCAGTCAGACATATATGCCTGGGTGTGGGCTTGATCCCCAGTAGGGGGTGTGCAGGAGGCAGCCCATTAACGATTCTCATCATTGATGTTTCTTTTTTTAAAAATATATATATATTTTATTGATTTTTTACAGAGAGGAAGGGAGAAGGAGAGGGATAGAGAGTTAGAAACATCCAAGAGAGAGAAACACCAATCAGCTGCCTCCTGCTGGGATGTGCCCGCAACCAAGGTACACACCCTTGACCGGAATCGAACCTGGGACCCTTCAGTCCGCAGGCCGACACTCTATCCACTGAGCCACACCGTTTTCGGCCATTTATTTTTTTAAAATATATTTTATTGATTTTTTACAGAGAGGAAAGGAGAGGGATAGAGAGGTAGAAACGTCGATGAGAGAGAATCATCGACCAGCTGCCTCTTGCACACACTCCACCGGGGATGTGCCCGCAACCAAGGCACATGCCCTTGACCGGAATCAAACCTGGGACCTTCCAGTTCGCAGGCCGACGCTCTATCCACTGAACTACACCAGTTTGGGCCTTTTTTTTTCTTTCTTTTTTTTTTAACCTCCCCGTGGGATCCGGCCGGGAAGGACCCGCCTAGAGTCAGTCCCAGGGCACAAGGTACAGCCTGGGGCAAACTCCGCCAACGCGGCCAACGCCAGCAATGAGTGACCAGCAGCCGTTTCATCCCCGGGGGGTGGAGGATGACGGGGCATCACCTCCCCGGGTGCAACCGAATCCCTAGGAAGCGGCTCCCGCACGGCGCTCCATTCAGACAGCGGAGTCCCCACCTCCCCGCAGGCCCACGGCCCGAGAACCACAAAGAAATACATGTCCCAGCAGGCTAAGCGGGGCCGAGCGCCCCTCCACAGACGGAATCGGCCGCCCCGGAGGATGCTGGGAGTTGTAGTCCCAGCCTGTGGCTGGCCGGATCCCTTAGGCTGGGCGCCAGGAGCGGACTCGGACTCACCTGGAAATTGCCCACCACGGAGGTGCCGAAGGCACAGAGGAGCCCGGACCAGAGGATCAGCTGGTTAAGCCACTTCCTGACTTGCCAGCCCTGGAACTGGTGGTAACGGAGAATGCAGATCCAGGCGGCTGGGAGGAAAGGGAAGTGGGAAGGCAATGTGGGGCAGGAAAGGCTGGGTACAGGGGTGGCGGGCACATGTGGAGGGCTGGGGGCCTGGCTCCTGGGTCTGAGGGAGGAGGCTGGGGGCCTGGCTCCTGGGTCTGAGGGAGGAGGCTGGGGGCCCCCCTGGGTCTGAGGGAGGAGGGCTGGGGGCCTGGCTCCTGGGTCTGAGGGAGGAGGCTGGGGGCCTGGGCTCCTGGGTCTGAGGGAGGAGGCTGGGGGCCTGGGCCCCTGGGTCTGAGGGAGGAGGGCTGGGGGCCTGGGCTCCTCGGTCTGAGGGAGGAGGCTGGGGGCCCCCCTGGGTCTGGGGGAGGAGGCTGGGTCCTGGGCCCCTGGGTCTGAGGGAGGAGGGCTGGGGGCCTGGGCTCCTGGGTCTGAGGGAGGAGGGCTGGGGGCCTGGGCTCCTGGGTCTGAGGGAGGAGGCTGGGGGCCTGGGCTCCTGGGTCTGAGGGAGGAGGCTGGGGCCTGGGCTCCTGGGTCTGAGGGAGGAGGGCTGGGGGCCTGGGCTCCTGGGTCTGAGGGAGGAGGGGCTGGGGGCCTGGGTCTGAGGGAGGAGGGCTGGGGTCTAGCCGGCAGGGTGTGAGGGGGGCCTGGGGTTGCCCTGGCTGGCCCGGGCGAAGGGCCGGGGCAGAGTTACCCATCGCAGCTCCCATGTTGAGCAGCTGGCCGAAGATGCAGCTCTGGGGCGGGTAGGATCCGCAGAGACTGGGGAAGACAGGGGTCACTGTGGCTCTGTAGGACCGGACCCCCTGCCCCCCTCTCGCTCCTCCCAGCGCCCTCCCACCTGATATAGGGGAGGCCCTCCGTCAGGTTCACAGTCTTGTTGGACACGGCGATCGCGAAACTGCAGGAGGGGAGACGTCAAATGAGGGCGGCTTCCCAGACGCCTTTTCCTTCTGTTCCCCAAAACCAGCCTGGCCCTCCCCCAGACCCAGGAGCCCAGGCCCCCCTCCTCTTCCCTCAGACCCAGGAGCCCAGGCCCCAGCCCTCCTCCCTCAGACCCAGGAGCCCAGGCCCCCAGCCTCCTCCCTCAGACCCCGGAGCTCAGGCCCCAGCCTCCTCCCTCAGACCCCGGAGCTCAGGCCCCCAGCCTCCTCCCTCAGACCCAGGAGCCAGGCCCCCAGCCTCCTCCCTCAGACCCAGGCCCCCAGCCCTCCTCCCTCAGACCCAGGCCCCCAGCCTCCTCCCTCAGACCCAGGAGCCCAGGCCCCAGCCTCCTCCCTCAGACCCAGGCACCGTCCTGCCCAGAACACTCACACGGTCCAGATGCTGGTGGTGGCCCAGACGGCCAGGAAGACGGGCAGCAGGGACAGGTAGCCCCACATGCCAGGGCCTCTGCAGAGGAAGGGAGGGCCGTGAATGAACCCCGCTTTCTCTCTGACTCTGTGTGTGTGTGAGAGAGAGGGAGAGAGAGGGAGAGGGGGGGGGGGTCAGTCTGTCAGATCCTCCTGCCTGCCTCCGAGGCCCCCAGTGGCTCCCAGCCGGGCCGAGGGCGGGTGGGTGGGGGTCACTCCGGGAGCCGGGGTGCGGGCCGGTCAGGTGAGCCAGCTCTCAGCCTGGGGCGTGTCCCGCCTTCAGATGCCCTTTAACCTTTACCGTGAGGTGTCTGCCCGCTGCCCGCCCCTCACCCACCTTCGGGGTCTCACCACGGCCGGCCGCCGCTGGCTCCCCTCCTCCCCCGCCCCAGAGGCCCACCTGCTGGGCTCCAGCTCTGGTCCCAGGACCGCTGAGCGGGGTGAGCTGAGCCCGGTGAGCGGCTCGGAGAGGAACTGCTGGGACCGGGTGGGGCTTGGCCAGGCCCAGGCTTTCAAAGAAAAGCAAAGTCCGAGCTGGCCCGAGGGAGGCCTCGGGGCCAGAGTCTGGCCGCCACTCTGCAGGGTTCTCACCCCAAAGGCCACTCCGCTGCTCAGCCCCAGGCGGCTCCTGAGCATCTGCAGGCCCCCAACTTCCTTCCTCACACGTTATAGGCTCGCCGTGCCCACCCCGGGGACGGCCAATCAGAGCCTGCAGCTCTCTTCCCCCGTGTGTGTGTGTGTGTGTGTGTGTGTGTGTGTGTGTGTGTGTGTCTCTGTGTGTCTCTGTGTGTGTGTGTGTGTGTGTCTGTGTGTGTGTCTGTGTGTGTGTCAGTGTGTGTGTGTGTGTGTCTCTGTGTGTCTCTGTGTGTGTGTGTGTGTGTGTCTGTGTGTGTGTCTGTGTGTGTGTCAGTGTGTGTGTGTGTGTCTGTGTGTGTCTCTCTGTGTGTCTGTGTGTGTGTGTCCTTGTGTGTGTCCTTGTGTGTGTGTATGTCTATCTGTGTGTGTGTCTGTGTGTCTGTGTGTGTGTGTCTGTGTGTCTCTCTGTGTGTGTCTGTCTGTGTGTCTGTGTGTGTCTGTGTGTCTGTGTGTGTGTGTGTGTGTGTGTCTGTGTGTGTCTGTGTGTGAGACCCAGAACCCAGGCCCTCCTGGAGCAGATGTGTTCCTCCCCCTCCCAGGTCCCCGCTCTGAGTTCCAGGCACCATGTCCCATCCTTTCCCGATGGCCCTGGGCCCCGTTCCGCCTCCTCCCAGCTGCTGACCCTGCTCCGGGCCCTCGCTTCCTCCCTCCCCAGGCGAGGGCCTGGTTCCCCAGCCCGCAGGCGGGCGTGGTGGGGGGGAGGGCGACCTCGGTGATGACACCCCCATCTGAATGCCTTCCCAGAAAGCAGCTGCTCCTCCACCACCTCCCCCTCAGGCAGCCCGCTCCTGCCGCCTCTTTCTGCCCTCCCCAGGCTGGGGTATGGGCCCCGGCCTCCGCCTGCTGCCCAGGCCCCAGCCTCCTCCCTCAGACCCAGGCCCCCAGCCCCTCCCTCAGACCCAGGAGCCCAGGCCCCAGCCTCCTCCCCCAGACCCAGGAGCCCAGGCCCCCAGCCCTCCTCCCTCAGACCCAGGAGCCCAGGCCCCCAGCCTCCTCCCTCAGACCCAGGCCCCCAGCCTCCTCCCTCAGACCCAGGAGCCCAGGCCCCAGCCTCCTCCCCCAGACCCAGGAGCCCAGGCCCCCAGCCCTCCTCCCTCAGACCCAGGAGTCCAGGCCCCAGCCCCTCCTCCCTCAGACCCAGGAGCCCAGGCCCCCAGCCCTCCTCCCTCAGACCCAGGCCCCCAGCCCCTCCTCCCTCAGACCCAGGAGCCCAGGCCCCAGCCTCCTCCCCCAGACCCAGGAGCCCAGGCCCCCAGCCCTCCTCCCTCAGACCCAGGAGTCCAGGCCCCCAGCCCTCCTCCCTCAAACCCAGGCCCCCAGCCCTCCTCCCTCAGACCCAGGAGCCCAGGCCCCCAGCCTCCTTCTCCCTCAGAACCCGCCTCCTCCTTTTTAAAATCTGGACACAATTTACAAAACAAATACACAATTCCATGGCACTTAGCACTTCCCACAGTATTGCAACTCTCTGGGTTCTCCGTCCAGTCCTAGAGCTTTTTCACCTCCCTGACGGGGCCTGGCTCCCAGGGCAGGCCCTCCTGCCCTCCCCCTCCCCGCCCCCGCCCTGGCCGCTCCGCTGCCCTCCGTGGCTGTGGTCCTGCCCTGGCCTCCAGGGGACCCCATGCTCCGCCTCGCCCACACCCCGGCCGGCCTCGCCCTCTGGCTGTGTCATCAGTTCCTCCAGGAAGAGATGCGGGGAATTCCTCGGGAATGACGCCAGAGGAAGATAAAGGAGAGCCCTGGCTGGTGTGGCTCAGTGGATAGTGCGTCGGCCTGAGGCCTGAAGGGCCCCGGGTTCGATTCCTTTCAAGGGCACATGCCCAGGTGGCAGGCTCAGTCTCCAGTGGGGGACTTGCAGGAGGCAGCCAATCAGTGATTCTCTGAAATCAATTAAATAAATAAACAGAATAAACATTTTATATATATATATAAGTATATATATATAATCTCCTCCAAATGAAGCACAGCCCAGCCAACATCTTGATTTCAGCTAAAAAACAAAAACTGATGTTGAGTTCTAGCCAGTGTGTCTCAGTGGCTAGAGCATCGGCCTGAAGACTGAAGGGTCATGGGTTCGATTCCAGTCAAGGGCACATGCCCAGGTGGCAGGCTCCATCCCCCGTCGGGGGGCATGCAGGAGGCAGCCGATCCATGGTTCTCTCTGATCATGGATGTTTCTCCCTCTCCCTCCCTCTCCCTTCCTCTTTGACATCAATAAAAATATATTAAAAAAAAAAAAAAAAAAAAAAAGATGCCGAAACCAGTTTGGCTCAATGGATAGAGCTCCGGCTTGGGGACTGAAAGGTCCCGGGTTCGATTCCGGGCAAGGGCATGTACCTTGGTTGCGGGCAGATCCCCAGTAGGGGGTGTGCAAGAGGCAGCTGATCGATGACTCTCTCTCATCGATGTTTCTAACTATCTCTCTCCCTTCCTCTCTGTACAAAATCAATAAAATATATTTTTTAAAAAAAGATAAGGAGAGAGGGCACAGGGAGAGGCAGAGGAAAGCCTCCAGCCTGGGCCACAGGCCAGCCGCCTGGAACGGGGGCCGGGGTGGGAGCCGGCAGCTCAGCTCTGCCAAAGCCCAGCCCTCCCCGTGGAGTCCTGCCCAGAAGCTCTGGGTCACCCTCGGGCACGAGGCCGGGAGGCAGAAATGGCTGCTGGCTGCCGGGGGCCGGGGCCGGGGAAGCACACTGACTGCTTAGTCACTTCCGCTGGGGAGACAGGGTTGTGGGCGCCACAGAGACGGGAAGGCTGCGAGATCACACACCTGCACCCCGGGGGAGGGGCGATGTTGTGTTCCGTGATTTTACTTTATTTATTTATTTTTAATATATTTTATGGATTTTTTTTTTTTAGGAAAGTGATTTTAAAAAAAAAATTTTAATATATATTTTTTATTGATTTTTTACAGAGAGGAAGGGAGAGAGAGAGAGAGCCAGAAACATCGATGAGAGAGAGAAACATCGACCAGCCGCCTCCTGCACACCCCCCACCGCAGATGTGCCCGCAACCAACGTACATGCCCTTGACTGGAATCGAACCCGGGACCTTTCAGTCTGCAGACCAACGCTCTACGACTGAGCCAAATCGGTTTCGGCTATATTTTATTGATTTTTAAAAATATATTTTATTGATTTTTTTACAGAGAGGAAGGGAGAGAGACAGAGAGCTAGAAACATCGATGAGAGAGAAACATTGACCAGCTGCCTCCTGCACACCCCCCCACTGGGAATGTGCCTGCAACCGAGGTACATGCCCTTGACCGGAATCAAACCCGGGACCTTTCAGTCCGCAGACCGACGCTCTGTCCACTGAGCCAAACCGGTTTCGGCATGTGTTCTGTGATTTTAGAGAGAAGGGAGAGGGAGAGATAGGAACATCCATGGGGAGAGAGAATCCTGGATTGGCTGCCTCCTGCATGACCTCCCCACACACACACACACACACACACACACACACACACTCCCCACGGGATGGAGCCTGCAACCCAGACACGTCCCCTGACCGGGAATCGAACCCTGACCTCCTGGTTCCTAGATGGATACTCCGCCACTGAGCCATGCCGGCCAGGCGCCAAGTGTATCCTGAATCAACCCGCCTGCTTGGCTTTCTGAATAAAACCTCTTGCTTGCCAAAACCGGTTTGGCTCAGCGGATACAGCGTCCACCTGTGGACTGAAGGGTCCCGGGTTCGATTCCCGGTCAAGGGCACATGCCCAGGTTGTGGGCTTGATCCCCAGCGTGGGGCGTGCGGGAGGCAGCCGATCCATGATTCTCTCTCATCGTGGATATTTCTCTCTCTCCCTTCCTCTCTGAAATCAATAAAATTATGTAAAAAATAAAAAATTTTTAAAAAGAGTATTGTCCAGCTGGGTGTGGCTCAGCAGTTGAGCGTCGACCCTAGAACCAAGAGGTCACAGATTCGATTCCTGGTCAGGGCACAGGCCTGGGTTGTGGGCTCAATCCCCAGTGTGGAGCATGCGGGAGGCAGCTGATCCATGATTCTCTCTGTCTCATCATAGATGTTTCTCTCTCTCTCTCCCTCTCCCTTCCTCTCTAAAATCAATAAAAAATATATGTATAAAAAAAACCCTCTGCCCTGACTGGTTTGGCTCAGTGGATAGAGCATTGGCCTGCAGACTGAAGGGTCCCGGGTTCAATTCTGCTCAAGGGCATGGACCTTGGCTACGGGCACATCCCCAGAGGGGGATGTTTCTCTCATTGATGTTTCTGACTCTACTTCTCTCCCTTCCTCTCTGTGAAACATCAATAAAATATATTTTAAAAAAAAAAAAATCTCTACCCTGACCGGTTTTGCTCAGTGGTTAGAACATCGGTCTGTGGACTGAGGGGTCCCGGGTTTGATTCCGGTCAAGGGCATGTACCTTGGTTGCG